CACACACACACACACACACACATTAGTTTCCACTGTCAGACTAATGGATTCAACTCAATCTTAAAACCCACTTCCTCACCGGGGGAGTTGGCCGCAGCCAGCTCCTGCAGCACGGTGGCGGGCTGGACGCTCAGCACAGCTTGGCCCATGTACAGAGCCTGAGTCTGCAGGACAGCGTCAACCTTCACATCCAGCTGGTCGCCGTGGTTACTGCCATATCCCCACAGCATGCACAGGAACCTGAATAGCATCAGCGGCTCGGGCAGGTGAACCTAAGAGATGGACACAACAATAGTGTCTGAATGTAGCATCACATCACGTGGGCGTCTAAATACAGAAACGTCTTTCATCCCCGTACCTGGACGAGCAGTTTCATCATCTCCCTAAAGCTCCCGGCTGTCGGTCCATCTCCGGCGCCACTGATGACAACACTGAAGAGGCGGCAGATTAATCCCAGGTAACAGCAGGTGTTGGTGTCCATCTTCTCCGGGTTCCACCAAACCTCACCTGCAGACAGGAAGTCTGTGATTTCTGTGTTTGTTTCTGAGTGAGGACACAACTCGTTGGGACAATTGTTACCTTTAAAAGAGGCGTCGTCACATTTGAGAGTGGAGGTGAAGTCTCGCAGCAGAGAGAAGAGGACGAAGCCAAACTCTGCAACGAGCCGTTCACCCGGCTGCTGCTCACACCTGCTCAGGTACAAGGTCAGAGCCTCGGAGAACAAGGAGGGGACGGACACAGGACGCCCAACTTTCTGTTTACACACGTAAAGAAAATAAAAGACGACAGAGAAAAATAATCTTTAGTTTACAAAAAAGAAATCTTAACCTAAGACTGAATTCTCATAAATGTATTCCTGGTCTATCAAAGGTACCAACAATTGATAAAAGGTTTTTTTAAATTTAAATCCAAACATGAGGTCGCTGACATGTCTGATGTCCACTGACCTGGACATCATCGTCCCTGGCAATGAGCTCCAGCAGGGGGGGCTCCAACAGCGAGAAGACCCTCTGGGCGGTGAGCAGGTGCTGCGTCTCGCTCAGCTCCCCGAGGCAGAGCAGCAGAGTCCGGGTCAGAACCAAGAAGGACGTCCTCTCTCTGAGGTTGGAGCTCCACTGCTGCTCCACCAGAGAAACCAACTTCTCCAACTGAAGGAGAAAACACACACAGTGACCTCTGGGTGACCTCAGCTCAGGTGATTCTCTGCATATGCAGGACCACAGACTGGAAATAAAGATGGACATGATCAAATCATCACAATCTCTCCCTGGTGGCTGGCTGCAGCAGAGGTCTTAAACCTCCTCCATGTTAGCAGATAGGACATGAACCAAACTAAAGAATCAAAGAAGACGTTAAATAAATGTTCAGCTCGCTCTTCTCTCACTGATGTTTGTTCAGGTGTTTCTGATCAGTTTGGCTTTAATCAGTTATCTGATGATATAAAAACAGACGTCATGATTGACAGCTGACACTGACACTGACTCAGAACTGATCCCTCAATACCAGAATAACAAAAACTCACAGCGTCTCGTTTGGAGAAGTGCTCCATGTTCGCCAGGTTCTTGGTTAACGTGGAGACGAGACTCTGGTTGACTAAACCCACAAATCCGTGTTCAGAGCTTCTCTTCATCAGCTCGTCCATTTCTGTGAACACAGAAGAAACAGTGTCACTGAAACTGTTCAACGCCACAGTGGCGCTCTTATTCTGAAAGTCCTACAGGGAACGCGTCGTAAACAAATGAAGTCATTTGTACCTTTGACAGAAAAACTCAAAGATCAAATTTATAACATTTACAGGAGTTTTTATTGGCAAGAATAATAATAAAAACATTCCAAATGGACGGTCAACTCAAATCCAAGTTTTACCTTCAGCCCAGTTGAAGGCGAGCGGGTGTTGAGCGAGGACGGAGGACCGAGCGATGCAGGAGGTGAGGCTGAGCTGGGCGGAGTCTGCCCGAGCACCGGTGACCACAAGGAAGGGCAGCAGCCTCCAGCCTATTCTTTGCACCCGCTCGACGTCGCCCTTTCCCAGCCGCGGGTCGGTCAGTAAACGCACCGCCTCTTTCAGCACCGGCAGCCTGAAGGAAACAAAACGATCAGTGATACCGACCGATACTGAACATCAGCCATCAGTACGAGCTCATGTGATTATCACATATATAAAATTAGAAAATGTGTTTTTCACTGACCAGTGCTCGGACACACACAGGTCGACTCGGACCATCAGTGACATTAAACACGACAACGTTTCTTCAGGATCAAAAACATCAAACAAAACCTGCAACGACAATAAAACACAAACTTGGTGCTTGTTTGATTTAAAACTGCAGCTGCGGTCATGTGACCGCTGCCTCGTTTATCGTCTCACTGACCTCCAGGACTTTCAGAGCAGCCGTCACAACCTCTGGAACGTCGTCCTTCACACGGTCAATTACGGCGTCTTTCAGGAAGTCTTCATCCAGACTCTGCTGCTGCTGAGAGGACACACAACTTTCAAAATAGAAGCAGCTGAATGGTGATCAGCTCACACAGGAGAGGAACATACCTGTCCGGAGGTGATGATGCTCATCAGGTGCTCCACAGCAGAGACTCTGACTGAAGGCAGCGGGTGTTTCAGACTGAGGAGCAGCGACGTGTCCGAGTCGCCCAAAATCTAAAGACGGAAACAAGAAGAGACAAAACACTGCAGGTACCAAACCAATCTGATTCCATTCCATGACAGATAACAGATGGAAGCATTTCAGTTACTTGTTGAAGCTGGTTTAGACATGTACCTGGTACTTTCCACTGCTCAGTGAGAGAGAGAGAAACTGGTGGAAAAGATGTTTCTGCTCAGGGCTGCTGAGGTCGGTCACATGACCTGCGAGGAGGCCGTCCACAGCTCCACAGTATCTGACCAACGACAAACAGAGTCATGTTAATTGATACAGACTAAAAACGGCAGGAACTATCAACAATCAACTTTACAAAAGCTAAACTGAACAGAAGTATTGACTCGAGACTGCAGAGTATGTGATGTAAATAAATAAGAGAAGAGTTTAATCAAAATACGTTTTAATACCTGGACTCGAACAGTCGGACCAGAGGCAGCAGGCGCTGGTCGAGGGCACAGAGGTTTTCAGCAGAGAGCTCAGTCTGAGTCAGATACTCATCCAGCAACAAACTGCAGGAGGAACACAGCAACAGTCGTCAGCGGTGAACGCCTCCTCAACACTCATTAACGCATCATTGTTGCTATGGTTACGCCTGGTTTCCACACAACTCCACAGTTTTACTTTTGGATAATCTCACATCTCCAGGTTTGTATTTGCTCTTCAGTGAAGAGGTCAAAGTCAGGGGTGTGAAGGTTAAAGCTGAGCCCTTTGTGTGTGGGGGTTAAAAACTGCATGTATAAAAATGAGTGTAAAAGGAAATTCCCCTTGAGGATCAATAAGTATCTCTTCTTCTTCTTCTTCTAAAATGTATCATCGTTTCTATGGTTACGCCTGGCAGTGACGCTGGAGTTTTGTAAACGCTGCTGATCTCGTTTTAGTTTGAAAACTCTGGTTCTGTGTTTTAGTCTGAACACAAACTGAGACTTTAGTAAACAACGCCCACATTCTCTTCTGATTGGTTCTCATCAGTCACATGACTCGACTACCAGCAGTGAACACAAAGCGTCGCTAACACTTCCTGTCAGGAACAGCTCCACCTCTTCGTCGCTCAGAGAAAATAAATCCCTGCTCTGACTGTTCACCATCACTGTTCTGTTACTAAGCAACCAACTGCAGAGGAGACACTCTACTTCCTGTTTACATCACATGACCAGTGCAGGTGAACGGTCATGTGACATTTGATTTCAGGTGTGTTAGTGTGGACAGAGGATGAGGTGAGTTTACCGAGCCACAGTTTGATCCAGGCCTCTGGTGAGAGGCACAGACTTCAGGACAGACTCCAGGACGCTGAGCTTGTCCGTCTCTGCTTCACCTGGAACTAGAAAACACAACATTAACTCACCTCTGCTCTGACAATGACCTCAGATGTCAGGTGGTTCCTGTTCTCACCTGAGCTGCTGGTAAAGATGTGGTGGATCAGGTGAGGAAGCAGGTGACGCAACAGAGGACTGACATCGTGAACCGCCGCCATGACCTGTAGTGTGGAAGCCAGCGACGGCATCGAGCAGAGGCGGGTGAAGGCTCTAAGGACATGAGAAGACACAGGTGAGTCCCACCTGCTCTGGACACAGAGTCACATCATCCGTGTGTATTTGAAGTCTTATCACTGTTGTATAAACTCTAAACCTCTGCTGTGGAGGATCCTCCTCGTGATCTGGCACCTACCTGGGCCCGGCGGCGCCCTCCTTCTGATTCTGCAGCAGCACGATGAGGCAGCCCAGACCTTCTTTAGCCAAGACAGGCTCTTTGACCAGCGACTTGCTGATGTGCACAGCGAGGCTGTCGACCAGACTCGCCTCCATCACCACCTTCACTGCCAGCTGGCACACGATCATGTAGGTAGCGGCTTTGTAGTCGCTAAGCGGCGACTTCAGACCCTGGAGAGAGAAGATGGCAAGAGGGGGCGGAGAATCATCTCAACAGTTACAGCTGAGGTTCCATGCTGATCGATCACTGACCGATCACTGACTAGTAACTGACTGATCACTAACTAGTAACTGACTGATCACTAACTAGTAACTGACTGATCGCTGCAGTGACCAGATCCTCAGCGAGTCACTCACCCTCTGAACGTACGGCAACAGTTTGGAAATGATGGTGTCAGACACCTTGTCCACGGCGTCCAGAGTGGGGACGATGGTGGAGGCGTAGAATGAGAAGATCACTCTGAGCTGAGAGCAACTGCCAGAGTGTCCTGAGTACGCCTGACAAGATGGAGGACAAAGAGAAGAGGAAAGAGGAGAAGAAGATGAAGTCTCCGCTACATTCTCATTTCTTTCAGTTTCTCCTTCAGAGATTAGAAACGAACATGCGTGTCTCTTGTTACTATGGAGACGTGGAAATTGTTTCATCGTGTCTCATCCGGTGGTCTCTCTACTGCCCCCCTCAGCCCTGACAGAAGATGACAGTTACCTGGATGGACTTTGTGACTATGCTGCAGATGAAGTCCATGAAGCTCAGGTCTGTGTAGCAGTGAGTGATCAGAGCTCCTCTGGACAACGGCACACCTGGTTTCTATGGAAACAAGGGGAAGAAAAGACGATTGAAAGCAGCACGACTTTGTGTAGACTAGAGAAGGTTGAGGCGTCAGGGGTCAGAGGTCAGACCTGCAGGCAGTGCAGCCAGTTCCATCGGTTGGTGGCGTCTCTGATCCTGAGCAGCTGCAGGACTCTGACAAACACGTTGGTGTCGTGGTACGGCAGCGCACACGCCAGCAGGCTGTCTGCGTTGTACAGGTGGACATGGAAGCTGCAACACAAACACAACATGAGACAACAGGAAGCCAAACAAAAGTCGATTAATTGATTTGCAGATTGACAGAAAGATAAGAAGCCACTTTTCTAATAATTGATGAACTGTTCGTATCGTTTTAACAAAACTTCACATTGATTCACGTTCATTTTTGAAACAGTTTTTGTCTGTGGTGACATCAACACTCTCAGAGGGAACAGGTTGGTGGCGATTTAGCGTACCGGTGAACAAGCCACTCGATGCACTTGTGAGCTGGTTTAAGGAGGAAGTACGGAGAGAGGCGGGTGAGGAAGAGCGAGATGCTGGCATCCAGCTTCTCATTGACCTCTTTGGACTGGACACTGCGCTCCAGCGTCAGCGAGGCCCGGCTGAACAAAGTGTCCTGGAACTCCAGAAACGCTGGTTCGATTCCCAGCAGCTCCTCCAGCCCAGTACAGCCTTGATGAGGGAGGACAGAAGGTGGAGGACCGAGGAGGGAGGACAGAAGGTGGAGGTTTAATGGCCAGTGGTTTGAAGAACTGGAGATCAGAAACCAGGAAGTGGTGGACGGGACTCACCGAGGGCGTAGAAGTTGTTTTTGTCCATGGACGCAGCATCTTTGGGGTCAAAGAGCAGCGAGACGACCTCTTTACGATTCAGCAAGGCGGGGTCGTTCTGAGGCAGTGCCAGCCTCTTCAGCTGGTGAGCCAACGACGTCATGGTGAGTTTCTTAACCTGAAGGAGACACAAACATACAACCTTCATTTAACCTTTAGCAGAGAGATTTGATGTTGAGAAAATTATTTTATCAATTGTCAATTATAGCGTCATTATTCTATCTATTAGAATTAAACATCTGTTTCAACAACGTGAGCTGAAATAAACGAGACTTGTTGAACTCTTCCTTAAGAAATAGGTTTAGGACAAACCTCACCCTGAGGAATCAAACCTGCTCCTAGCTCTGGTTTCACACTTTAGACCAAGTCATCTTTAAAGAGGTCAGAACTGACTTTACCAAACCACACACCTTTAGTTCACTAACTACAGGTAACATCATTGCTCATTAACAACGTGGTATGAATCAGGTCAATATAGTTCATGCACTTAAAGTCAGAAATGATCTGATTAATACGAACTTTAACTTCAGTGAGGAGGAAATTATTTCTGAGAGACAAGGAAACATTTAGTGTGAGGATTTCAGGGTTTGTATTGAGGATGATCCAGGATATGAAAGCCTGTTTTCTCTTGCTAGTTACTTTAGATCAGCTTGTTAAACTAGTGGTAGCGACGTGTCGCTAATTGAACATGTGAAACATTAAACAATTAAAAACTTCTTAAACTCCGAACAGAAACAATCAGAGAAGAATTCACACAGAAATAACAAAACTGACCTTTTCTCTTTTTCTCCACAAACACGTTGATGAAGCACGTTCACTGCTAAACTACTTCCGGTTCACGACATATTACATGTTTCACTTCCGGGTTCAAACGGGTGAAATAAACTCAGCGGTTGCTACCGGATGTTACAGAGTTGAAGACGTGACTCGTGTTCACATTTAGCGCGGTTAGCAATAATTCACTTTATCATCACACGAGTAAAAACGAATGGGACAAATGGAGTGAACCATCTCTACCGGGAGAGGACCTCTACTCCTCCCGCCACACGGGGGCGCCGCTCACCGCCATGTATATAAACAGCTGCTGTGGTTTCCGCGTGAGCTCGGTGAGTTTGTCCGGTGACGTTAAAAAGACGCGAACGTTAACGTGAACCAGATTAACGTGAGTAAAAACAACGAGTGAAACCGGTTTAACGTTAAAACAAACCGGAAGCCTCGCTTCCCGCGGCTCAGAGGGCGGGAGCAGCGCGTGAGTAGCTCTGCTGCGGTGTGTGTGTGTGTGCGTGCGTGTGTGTTTGTCAGCTAATGCTAAACGTTAGCAAGTCAACCGTTCGTGTTTTCGCGGGGCCCCGCCCTTCGTGCATTTACATTGGCTCTCCTTGACGTCATCTGTCTGAGCTCCACGCTGATTGGCTGGGAGCTGCCGGTCCCTTTAACTGATCAGCTGAAAGAAACACGTGGTGATTCAACACACAGGAAGAGCAGGTGAGAGAGGGACACACAACAATAACACAACTATAACACAACACTGGGTCGAGAGAGAGAGAGGGGGGGGGGA